GCACTCCCTAAGCGGTTTACAATGTGTAAGCTAATTGCCCCTAACAAGCTGGGTACTCATTTTAGCGATCTATGGAAGGATGCAAGGCTGAGTCGACCCTGAGCCCCTGGCTGGTATTGAACTCACAACCTTGTACAGGCATTTAACCACTGCGCCACCAGGGCTCCTAAGAACTTCCTCCCCCATCTGCTTGTCATATAAAATGTTCCTATGCGTGGTGAGAGACATATACATCCAAAACTTTCTAAACAGCTTATAGATTGTCCTCTGAAGCAGGTAATTTTTCCCTCACAGAATGCTGGTTGCTACTGGGAGGCGGTAAGGGATGGGGAGAGGAATTTCTTATGTTTGGAGCAACAATATGAAAAAAAGCACAAACATTTTTCTTTGCAAAGAGGTACTATGTAGTACACACTACTAAAATGGGGGAGGTAGGCAAAGTGTTACAATAAAAATGTTGGATCAGAAATGAATTTATAGGTGCATTGTGACTAAAATGTTAAAAAAAATTAATAATCTCTATTATACAAATCTAGTAGTTGAAATGAAAATTCTACTTGATATTCATCATGCCTTGGGAGCACTCAGAACAAAACAGCTACAAAATGGGGAAAATTTATGCAAATTGGAATCTTGCTAATTTTCTTAAATTACAAAGTTAATATGATGCAGAGATTTTCACCTGCATGTCAGAGGCATCAACTGGCACACTTGTATTGTTTATGTCATTTCAAAGTAAGTTCATGGGTGTCTGATAAGGGCCAAATGCAACTTAAAATGGACCAGGCCAATATTTTTTTCTTTGCATGCAAAGAGCACATAGGATTTAATGTGTTCACTCCTGAATAGACTGCCAGAAATAATCCAGTTTGAAGCCACTTTAACTGTCCTGGCTCTATGCTAGGGAATCATGGGAATTGTAGGTTTTTCTGAGACATTGAGCTTTCTCTGTTTAGAGAACTCTGGTGCCACAATAAACTACAGTTCCCATGATTCCTTAGCACTGAGCCAGGGCAGTTAAAGTGGACTCAAGTTGCATTATTTCTGGCAGTCTGTTCAGGCTCTTAACATTAGACATTGACTTCTTTTTTATCTTGCTTTATGTTTTAGGGACTAATGATAGCTTATAACAGAAATCACTGGTTATCATTGTAGACAAAATGACTAAAGAGTATTGCAAGTTGTCTTCCTTATGCGGTGGCTCAAGTGGCTAAGACGCTGACTCTGTTGATTGCAAGATCGGCAGGTTGGCAGTTCGAGATCCAGGTGCTGCATGATGGGGTGAGCTCCTATCACTAGTCCCAGCTTCTGGCAACCTATCAGTTTGAAAGCATGCAAATGCAAGTAAATAAATAGGTATCACTTCAGTGGGAAAGTAAACAGTGTTCTGTGCAGTCATGCTGGCCACATGATCACAGAGCAGTCTTCTGACAACGTTGGCTATTTGGCTTAGTAACGAAGATGAGCGCTGCCCCCTATGGTTGGACACGACTCGACAGCCTTGTTAAGGGGAATATCTTTACCTTTACTTTTTTACTTCCTTACATCAGACGGCATTGTTTTGTTTGTGAATGCTATACCTGTACTTGAATATCTTTTCCTTTCTAAATAACAAGCTCTGGGCTCCTTATTTGGTTCAGGTTTACAGTGTGCCCTTCGTATATGCAGGGGATCCATTCCAGCCCCCATGTAAGGGAAAAAACGCAGGACCTCAAGTCTCACTGTTTTCTATGGCGGTGTGCTCCTGTGTGCTACGCTGTGTGCGTGCCGCAGGTGCGTGTGCCATTAAAAGTGCCGCGTGACCTTGAGTCTGTATGGTATGGGCATGCTGTATTCATTTTTTGGGGGGAAGGGGGAGTCTTATGTAGATTTTAGGTATTGAATATATAAACTGTATACAAGCTCAGACTATAAAGCAGGGTTAGGCAACCTTTCCCCTTTAAGGGCCGAGGGACTTCAGCTCCCAGAAGCCTCAGCCATGTTGGCCAATAGTCCCATGTTGGCCAATAGCTCCTGGGATTCTGGGAGCTGAAGTCCCTCGGCCCTTAAAGGGGAAAGGTTGCCTACCCCTGCTATAAAGTGACTGATTAAATACACACACACACGTATACACATATTTCATTTTTAATCTCAAGTTTACTGGGGAACAATTGCTCCCTGAGGGAAACATGATACTTGACTAGACAGGCCTTTAGAACTGATCCAGCAAAGCTCCTCTCATGTTCCAAAGGTACTCCAAGGAAAGGGACAGATCTTTTAAGTGATGGATAGATTATGTTTATTAATAATCACCTAGTTCATTGCAAAAAGAAAAATAAATGTTTCTTCATTAGATGTGAGAAAATATGAGATTCCTTAATAAATTAGCAACATACAAAATGGTTTTAAAAGTACAGGTAGATCCAATATTGCCAATATTGGAAAAAGATCCATACTTGAAAGCAGTAACATTGATTTAATTTAGGAGCTTTCTGCTTCCATGCTATAACTATTGCTCTCTGAACGAAATCTTTATATCAGTAGGACATAACTTTGCCGAAAAGGGCAAATTATGTTACAGCTCTGTATCTAAGTGGAAAGTGAAGTTGTCTTTGAGTTTGGTGAAGATGCATGTGTGACTTGGTAACTTTTTTCAGGAATGATGTTCCATAGGCTTTCTCTGCTTGTTTATTGCTTATTTAAAGCATTTATACCTTGCTCTTCAGCCAAAAAGCCTTCCAGAATGGCTTATATAATATCATTGAAGACAAGATCACCCTTACTTTCAGGCTTACAATATAAATGACAGAATAGAAAGCCAGAAAAAAATGATGAAGAGAGAAAAGGAAGCCAAAGAAACTCACGTCCTAATTCTTAGAAGGTACATAGTATTTCTTACCATGGGTGACTCGATTAGAAATGGTTCATCACAATAGCAAGTACATTTCTATACTGCTTATCAGTGCACTTAAGCACTCCCTAAGCGTTTTACAATGTGTAAGCTAATTGTCCCCAACAAGCTGGGTACTCATTTTAGCCACCTATAGAGGATGCAAGGCTGAGTGGACCCTGGAGCCCTGGTTGTTATTGAACTCACAACCTTGTGGCTGTGAGTAGCTGCAATACAGGCATTGAACTACTGTGCCACCAAGGCTTATGGGGAGAAGAAAGAGCCTATTGAAGCTGGCCAACAGCATTGCTGATGAAGTAACTCGGTTTTCCATTTCCTTCTCTGTTATGGCTTGTCAATGGTTGCTACCTTGTGACACTTCTGGGCCTGGCCAGTTTATCAAGAGGCAGATTTTAGAACCATGGAATCATAGAGTTGGAAGAGACCTCAAGGGCCATCCAGTCCAACCTGCTGCCATGCAGGAACTCACAATCAAAGCACTCCTGACAGATGGCTATCCAGCCTCTGTTTAAAGACCTCCAATGAAGGAGACTCCATTACACTCCAAGGGTGAGAACAACTCTCACTGTCAGGAAGTTCCTCCTAATATTGAGCTGGAATCTCTTTTCCTGTAGCTTGCATCAGTTGTTCCGGGTCCTATTCTCTGGAGCAGCAGAAAACAAGCTCCAATCTCAATATGACACCCCTTCAAATACTTCAACAGGGCTATCATATCACCTCTTAACTTTCTCTTCTCCAGGCTAAACATACCCAGCTCCCTAGTCACTTCTAATAGGGCTTTATGGTTTCCAAACTCTTCACCATTTTGGTCACCCTCCTCTGGACAAGCTCCAGTTTGTCAACATCCTTTTTGAACTGTGGTGCTCAGAAGTAGTCTGAAATCAAAGCATTAGTTCTGCTCATTAACTAATTAAAGATTGAAATACTAATATAAATTAGAAAATGGATTAGTCCACTTCTCATTATTGGAATTTATATTGCTTGCCGATGCAAGGAAGTTATTCTTACAAGATAGGCTCTAGTCAGAGTCATAGAGGCTTTGTGCCAACATGCATTTTTGAAGCAATGAAATTAGATGATTTCTGAAAATGCAACTTTCAGCACAGCAGTAGTATAAGATTAGATTTGTGTTACGAGTACAGAATTAAGATTACAGCAACTCAAATTTAGTGCAAGCAAAGTGTATCTTATGGCCCTTAAGTCCCACAAATTTACTTCCTAGTAAAATATCCATCGTATATGCTCTCCCTCAGCTTGATTTGACTACTTCACTGCACTCTGTTAATTTTAAAATAGCAATGGAATTTTGAATTTCTCAAGAAAATGAATAGGGCTGTACATGATAGTTAGACAGGGTACCATTTTGTAGATGCATTTACTATCCCAAAATTTATCCAGAGGGACTTGTATCTTTGCCTCATTTTATCTACAAATCAACTATGCTGTGTATGTTAGATTGTAAATGACTGGTCCACAGTTGCCCAGTGAACTTCACAACAGAGTGTGGATTTGAGGTTCATCACTGTTTACTATACTACAATAACTTGCAGATGGCCTTTTAAGCTTATTCATAGCCACCAGGATTGTGAGCTGTTTTTGAATTTGTTGAACCCTTTATTACAACCTTGGTTTCAGAATTATGTGCAATGCAGACATGCCTCAGTTAACAAAGTTAATGTGTTCCTGACCATCGACTTTGTCAACAGAAAATTTGGTACCAGAGGTGGAAATAACATGGAAAGAATAATATGCCCCACCCACCCACCCCCTCAAACAGGAGCAGTTCAAGATGTTTCAGCAAACTTTTTATTGAAAATGAACAATATGCACATGTGAAATGAAACAACCAAGTCAAGGAGGGCATTCTCTCAGTCCTACCACCATCAACCACTTGTTTGGTGAGGACATGGAAGAAAGAGCCTTCTAAGTGGCTTTTCCCAGTCTGAAACACCCATGGGAGGTCTGCTTAGCCCGCTTCCTGCTCTCTTTTTGCTGGCAGGTTAAGACCTTATTTAGCTTATGTACATTTTAGCCAAATTGTTTTAAATTTTGTCAGCCTTCTTGGGTTCTTTGGTGGGAGAAGGTGGGGTGTAAATTGAATAAATAAATAGGTAGGTGCCAGCGTGGCGTAGTGGTTTGACTATGACTCTGGAGACCAGGGTTCAATCCCCTGCTTCACCATGGAAACCTACTGGGTTACCCTAGACAGTCACATACTCTCATCCTCAGAAAACCTCAGTTAACAAAGTGGCTAACTGACTCATGATAGGTTCAGCTTAGGATTCCCATAAATCAGAAACAAATTGAAGGTACCCAACAACAACAAAATAAATAGGTAAGCCTTAAAAAAAATTTAAAAAAAAATTTTATAGGCCACTTGAAGCCTTCTTCCAAAATGTATCCAGAGATAACTTTTTCTCCCACCAACCTTGACTTTTGTTAAGATTTCCATTTTGGTGGTCAACCTGAAAGATCTGTGATTTTCTAATATGTTGGAGGTAACTGGTGAGGAAGGTTTATCTGCTCTTTACCTTGCCTAATCTATGCAGGCACACACAGGTACAGTAGCAGGAGCTAAAGCAGAATTCCATTATTTTCCTCTTAAGTTTTATTATACTGTTTACTGCAAGTATGCTGCTTCCTCCAGCCGCTGACAGTTTGTGTTTCTCCAGCCCATCTTCGTCCTCAGTGCTGATGCTGTTAAAATACTTCCAGCTAGAAAGAGAAGGAAAAGGGAGCTGACAGGCATAAAAAGATTTTGTAAAAGGAGCTTCACAGTCAGCCACTTTGTTAACTGAGGTATGCCTGAACCAATAACATTTACCACTTAAAATATTTCCATGTTGATTTCACTTTTCATTTTATGAGGTATGCTCAGATTTTTCCTTGGCAGTGTTTCATGAGATAATACTTTTGCTTAGTATGGCAACTTTCAGTTCACTCAGTAAGGGTATGATCGTTGGGAAATGACAACTGGCACTCATTCTTGCCTAATAGTGCAAATGTGTAATCTTAGCTGTAGGTACTCCCCTAAAGAGCTGCATTCTCCCCCTTGATTTTACCTTGTTACTGGAAGTCCAGGTTATTATAGTGATACAGGGCGCCGTTTTCTAGTTATAGCTGGTCCAGCAGGCCATTCCAGTGCGGAAGTAGCTTGGTTGCAGCAATCCATGCTTTGGTAACCTCTTGGTTAGATGGCTGTAAGTGTTTATCACGGGCTGTCCTTGAAGATGTACTGTAGGGTGTGAAACTTTGGTAGAAAGGCAGCCAGATGGATATTGATGGGTTCAATTTATGAGACCACATAGCACTTATCCATAAAGATTCTTACTTGGTTATGGTTTATTGCCATTCTCAGTTGTCAGTCCTGGCTTTAATGTATAAATTCCCTTATGACTTAGAACTTGGCTAGCCAAGGATGCAGCTCTTCTGTCCATGAAGTGAGATCTGTAGAAAGAGTCCTTGTGGAATATAGTGACTTTAAAAAGCCCAGCTTTCCAGGAATTATGATAGGAACCTCTTCGGGGGCAGGTACCGAAGGTGAGGGATTCTTCCCTAGGTCAGACTAATATCACTGATATCATTGATCAGCTTTCAGTATCAGGTGAAAAACAATCCTTTTTCATTAGGCTTTTTGATGAGACAGACTCTTTATAGTAGTACAAAATAGCTGAAGGGCAGTATATATGGAATTTCTTTATACTGATTCATTCTGTCCTTTATTCCTTTTATAATGTTGCATTGTGTGTTTTGGTCCACTGTGGAACCACTGTATGGTGAGGAGTGTTATATACCATTAGTTTTACAAATAGAAATGAAAGTATGAATCAAAAATACTAATTGTGGAGTTATATTGAGCTAAGCCTGCACATCCTGGTATTTGTTTCTGAGATTAATCATGGTGTTTTCCCCTTAATTGCATTGTCAAAAAGCAAATTATGCATAGCTAGCACTCTAAATGTTTCTTGGCAATTTTGTCAAATGCACAATGGGAAAATACACAATGCCATACCAGCAGAATCATACATCAGAGTGGTAAAACTCAAAATGTTATTCCATTCCATTTAGTCTTGTCTGCTGAAACAAGATGACTGTAAGCTAATTAGTCAGTATGCAATTTCAGTTGCAAAGATTCCCTGTTTGTGACACTAGTTTTTTCAAGCATGACATGGATATTTTTAAAGAAGAAGGCAGAGAGACAGTTGCTAGGGGAGGCATGAACAAAACGAAAAGAAGAAGAGCAGAATAGGTATAAAATGAGTATATAATGAAAGCCAAACAGTGGGAACAATATACCACCACACACAAGTGGCTTATTTAATATACTTTGTGGTTGTGGAATTGTTCCCTAGACTGAGGAGATGGGAAAGACCTCTACCCCCAAATGTGGATAGGTACTGCAGTTACAATTTCTAATACTGGGCTATAGCAGTGTGGTTTTAGGTTTTTGTTTTTGTTTTGTTATTGTTGTTTAAAATGAGTTGGGAAAATAACCACTTCCCTATATCAAACTGTGGTCAGTTTTAGCATGTGTTTACATTCAGAAAAAAAACAATGGTGGCTTTTTTTAAATTATATTTTAATTTAAGAGGTACAAATACCAAAATGTTTTTTTGACAGCCAAAAGTGGGAAACAAATCAAGTGCACTAACTGGTTAAATTCCAGCGGTGGAGATTTTGCAGCCTCACAGTTGTTTTTAGACTGTAAAATTCCAAATGTAAAATTATGATGTCATTAAAAATAATTGATTTTATTTCTGAAATGAAGAATAAGATACTGAAAACATAGAAGTGAAGGGATTAGGAAGGATTTGTTTGTATTTTTTAGTTAAGGTTTGTGTGGGATTGGAATTGAATGTTGGATGTATTTGTAATGTGGAATGTAAAATTAGAAGTTTTATGTTATGTTGTGTTAGAAATTTTATGTTATGCTATGTCAGTCAGTGTGATGTGATATGTCTTTTTAGACCAATAAATATGATCAATTTAAAAAACCCTGTAATTCCCAGCAGCCTTTGCCAGTACACTTAGTGGGAAGAACGATGTGATTTGCAGTCCAGAAACAACTGCTAGACTAATAGCATCATGTTCCTCAGAATAATTGTAAATATTTTAAGCGTGACATCCCTTATATTATTTAAAATTTAAAGAGAGTGGTAAAGACACTTGAAACTGAACAGCTTTGTGTTTGTGTGTGCACTTATTCAAAAAAGTATATTCTACCTTTCTATATACAATTCAAGTGGCTAACAACAGAGAACACAAAATAGAATAAAAAGAACAAAATATACAGGGAGGGGGAAATCCAACAAGAATAGCAAGCTGCTAGATAACACAAGAACAGTAACTTTTGCATACACATGCACACACCAGAAACCCATATTCAAGCTGTTTCTGACCTATGGTGACTCTAAGGCTGTAGTGGCATTTTCTTGACAGAGTTTGTTCAAGGAGTTTGCCCTTACCTTCCTCTGAGACCGAGAGAGTGTGACTTGTCCGAGGTCACAAGTGGGTTTCCTTGGCCAAACAGGTATTCAAACCATGGTCTCCTAGTGTCCTAGTCCAATGCTCAAACCACTATATTTTGCTGGCTCTCACATGCACACACATGTATATGTATAGATAGATGGATTAAAGGGGCTGGATATTAGCCCTGTCAAGGCATCCAACCTCTAAAGACTAGAAGGCTTTGTACACAGACATGTCTTAATGCTGTGGCAGAAGGTCGGGAAGGAAAGGGTAAAACTAGCTTGCTAAGCAGGAGGTTCCGAAGTCTAGTTGCAACAATGGAAAAGAGCCCTCTTATCTCAAACAATTACAGGTTTGGAACCAACAATATCAGTGGATGATCTCGGTGTTCAGGCAAGCTAATACAGGTGTGGTGGCGATCTTTCAAATATCCTGGTCCCAAACCGTAGGGAGCTTTAAAGATTATAGTCAATGTTTTGAATGGGGCCTGGAAGTAGATAACTCATGCTGTTATTTCAGCAGTAGGACAGCTCCAGGGATGTCTTCTTCTTTGTGGTCTCTGTGACTCACACAGTTAAGATTATCTTCTTCTGCTCAGCCCACCATCAGCTTCTCTCTCACTGTTCCCACTCATTTACCTCATTTCCTTTTCATCTGCTGTGTCAGCAGCATTGAAGGAACCTTTCTAACATATCTTGTGTTTCTTTTTCTTTGCAAAGTATTTAACAGTAGACTGATTTTGGCTGTATGTACAACTACTCTCTCAGAATACTCTTGGCTTTGGATTTCTTTTTGGCTGTTTGGTGATTGACTCAGCTTGCTTATGGCTTTTCTCAGACTCCCCCTGCTGGTTGAGATTATAAGAGATTGAATGTAGTCTGATTTTGTGCATTTCAGGGTTTTTCAGCAAAATAATTCATTTGTGAAAAAATGTTAGTTCTGGCACAGAAAATAATGGGGATTTTTTTTTTTTGGTTGTTGTTAAAATTATCTGCAAAAAAAGTCCCTAAATGCAAAACCTGTTTTGCAGTTGACCATTTTCTTAATGTGTTTCTCATTGAAGATTTGAAAATATTTGCATGTTCTTAATATTCCTAAGCAACATACTACTGATACCCTTCTCCAGTCTCAGCAAGCTATCTGCTACATTTTGAACAATAAGTTGAAGTGTCAGATACTTTTTAAAGTAGCCTAAAGTGGGGTCCTTGAAGCAGGCCAAGTGAGATATAGCTAGGCATGCATTACCATATTCAGATCTGTTTTCTGTAGAAATTGACATAGTTGACACAACTGCCTAAACTGAGCTCTGTCCCAGGTCTTGAACCAAAGTGTCACCTAAGCAGCTGGAGTCAAGATGGGTTCAGAATAATGTCAGATAAGAAGTCTGTGTTTTCAGAGTGAATGATACTTCATCTGGCATACTCTGAACCATGATTTCTGTATGGGCTATGCTGCTGAAAAGTAACACTTCTAACTTGACTTAAAACCAAGGACCCATAGGATGGAGCAGTATTGTAGCTCCATCTGTAGTTTTGTATGACACACTCACATTTTATTAGTATTGAATTAGTTAAGAGGCCTGCTTTTGGCTCTTCTGAGCACAGTATAAATGTCATACACCACCCTTATATAATTCTGGGTTGAGCAGCCACTGATGCATCCCATTTGCTTGCACTAATAAATGTATCCAAGCTATCTACCATAAATGTTGT